ATATATATATATATATATATATATATATATATATATATATATATATATATATATATATATATATATATATATATATATATATATATATATATATATACATATATTATATCAGAAGCGACCTGCAAATAAAATCTAAAATATGACATATTATTTCTGCTTACCACACGATCTATTTCAAAGGAAACTTTAAAGCCCCGCTATTCTCATTTGGACGATTTTCAGCACCAACCACTATGGTCTGATAAGAGACCAAGTTTTGCTGACGTAATTCATTTCTACTCTATTCGATTAGCAAGTTTCCAAACTTCATTGTATTTTACTGTGTCTTCGGGATTGACTCGAAATTTAATCTTCATTGTTAATTAGTTAGTAAAATTCATCAAAAGACAATTTTCTTTATGGCAAAAATTATGCCTATTAAATCAAAATCAAATCAAAATCTTTTTAATATACTTTAAATGTCAAATTGTCTTAATTACCAATAATATAAGCTTAGATAGTAGTGATATCCGAAAATAAATTATATAGTGTATGAAAATTAATTTAGTTCCGCTTGAGGAGAAGAGAAATGTTCCAATATTTCCTCGCATCTTCGTGGATAATATGTAAACTTATATCCATAATAACCAAGCACTGACTACAATTATGTCAAATCACTTAAATCAGGCAATGATCCTTCATAATTCTTTTTTTGTTCAGTTTAAAATTGGGAAATAGTTCTATTTTACATTTGATGAATTTTCTCTCCAAATTACAAGGTTATTTATTCACTTTATAAATAATCTGCATTTTCAAGTTATTTCCTCATAGCTCTTAGAGCAAGCAATGGATTCTAAATGTTCCTGGATGGCAGCGCAGCTTATAAAAAAAATACAATTTTTTTTATAAAAACAATTGAATGAGATATTCCTGCTGGCATTCATATAATTGACAGCCTGTATATCTACACTTTAAATGTCGATATATAATTTTCGAAAAGTATTTCAATCAACACTTTTATGGGCTTTTCTTACAACATTTCAAAATATTTGCAGTGATAATATTTGTTAGCAGTTGCCATTTTTTTTGATCGGAATGGATTCCTAATGGCTTGTTATTTATTCTACGCACAAACGTGCTCCCTGCAGCTTTCCGTTTGTTAGCGTAATGCCGCAGTGTGGAAAGTGGTTTTTTAATATGAAGGAAATAGAAATTATCATGCTTTGAATAATTCTAGCCTCAATAATTTATAAATAAAGTACTGCAATACGAGAGGGTGATGTTTATCCAGGGTGGGGCAATAGTGCGATATGTCGAGTTCTATGATAGCTAGAAACTTGATTTAAGAACATAAATAAACTAGACAAAAGTCTATAATCGAAAATTATTTTTGGATATACAGGGTGAGCCAAGACGATTCTACCGGGTCAACTAACATTTTTTTAAATGAAATGGTTTATGTGTAGTTAGCATATTTGGATATTTAATAATTATAATTATAAGCCATAAGTAGTACAGTTCAACAAACTGCAAATTGATTGTAATGTTTATTTGAGAAATATATAACCCACACTTTTGTGTTAAGTAAGCAATATAGCAATATCATTATTGTATTTGGTGAACAATGAAAATATACATTAAATTATACGATGTTAGAAAAGTAACATGTGTTATTTATTACACCATGTATATCAGAACATTTTTTTTAAACATCTTTGTTGCCCTCTTCCACTCCTGTATGACTCTCCCCACCACTTGAATGTAATGATTTTTTTTGTTGAAATTATGTCATTTGCACGTGCATTAAAAAAATCACTTCAGTCACAATCATCGATTTTAGGAAAAAATATATTAGTAACAGTTATGAGACATTTGTATGATGACACTTAACCATTTTCACGACCTAAAAGTATACAGGGTGGCCAAAAATAATTTTTAAATTTACAACTATTTGAACTGAATTTTCTCAATTTTTCCAAATGGAACACCCTGTATATTTTTGGATGATATGATGTAGAATTCAAAAACGAACATTTTCTTATACGTACATTATTATGGCTATTTGTGACCATTTTCAATTTATTGAACAATAACTGCAAAATTCAGCAATAAAAATTAAAAATAATTTATTTTTTTGTAACGCCATATCCTAAAATGACATCTATTGGAAAGTTTCAATGAATCAAAACAATGTCATTAGTGACAAGCGAAAAATAAAGAAAAAAGTGTGAAATAAAGAAATTTTATTTTACAGTGTGAAATAAAACTTAATAGTCAACAGGCAACAAATTAAAGTTCTTACATCAAATATTTATTAATTATTAACAAAATTCATGAACACTTTTATTCATAATTTAACGAAAATTTGTATGAATCGTACTGTTACTAACATTATTTATATTTATTTCTGGAATTATAGATTCAGATGTGATTAGATTCATTTATATTAATATGGTGGTTGGTCTGATTTTCCCCAACGACTACATCGGCAGACATAGTCATTTCTGTAGTACTGTTTTAAAATATCTGTTTTGAAATTTCCTTTTTGCACTGGATGCTATCTTCTATATATCCTTCAGCAACTGTTGAGGATTTCCATCCTCCATGACGTTTTAAGGTAAGAATATCAGCTCCAGAACCAGCTAATAGTGATGCCGAAGATCTCCTAAAGCTGTGACTCGTATATTGCCCAGGATTAGGTAAGATAAGGTATTTGGCTATAATACTTGATATTTTTTGAAAATGTATTAATACCAACTCGTTGGACCGTACATTTTCCTCCTCGATATTGAAGAAAAACCTATTTGTGATTCACAAGAGTAGGGCAAATAGCTGCATATTTATCATAAATATTTAGTGGATTTATTCCATTAACTGTCTCACCAATTACCGTAAAAGTCCTCTCAATGTGGGTCTTCGAGTCGGGTACTTTAACATCCAGCATGTAGTCTTTTCTCACAATGTCATCAATGGTCATATTGTAGAGTTCCTTTCGACGATAAGCGCCAGCCAAGCTCATTATTAATATAACTTTCAACATTAAAAACTTTTCATCTGGTGCTTCTAGTAAAAAACGTTCGACATCTGCTCTGTCAAAAACTTTAGATTTCTTAGCCCTATACCCAGTGGATTGTCTTTTCAAAAGACTATTACTTTTTTGATAATTGGATACATCTACATTATTCTTTGCATTCAAAACTGCTTTAAGCATCGAAAACTTGGACCAGAGACTTGAACATTTTAAAGTTTTTACTTTTTCAGATAGATAAGTCAAAAGAACAGACAGATATGTTACTCACAGTTTTCTGCTTACACCAGTGCATAAATAAATCATATTCTTTTTCGTACAATTTTCTAGATTTCACTGGTAATAAATCTAAAGTTACAGCAGTTGCTTGCTCCCTGATTTCCGGAGGAGTACCAGGAATACAATCTTCCTCACTATCACTCATTTTGTTCCAAATAATAATTATTGTAAAGTAGAATGTGTCAAATGCGACGTTTAAATCGTTCAATATTTAGTTGTTTTATTATTGGTTTCTATGGAAACAGCAATAGAATTTAGTCATTACGACAAGGTAACTTTGTCAATTTGCCGTATTTTTACAAAATTGTACTGTTTTCTAATTTCGAATGGCGATACAAGAAATTTTGTATATAACTCGTGACTAAAATGTGTTTTTTTTTACTCGTGTGGTTTATAACACTCGCCTTCGGCTCGTACTATGAACGCCCCACTTGTAAAATAAACACCATTTTAGCCACTTGTTATATATAATACTGTTTTTTTGTAATTCAAGAGAAGATATTATAAAAAGTGCTCCACACGTTGCCCATTTTGATTGAAACACATTTCTATGCATCTTTGGAATAAGATTTCTACTGTTCATAAAATTGCCGGAGTGATACTTTTAAAAGCATTTATTATCCTTTCCTTCAAATTTTGGATTGTTGTTGGTGTGATGTTTTTATGGACATCATATAACATGCTTATTATAATACCTTCTCTTGAATTATTTGAATAAAACCCTCATTTTTAATTTTTTATTGCTGAATTTTGCAATTACTGTTCAATGAATCGAAAATGGTCACAAATAGCCATAGTAATGTACGCACAAAAAATGTTCGGTTTTCAATCCTATATCATATCGTCCAAAAATATACAGGGTGTTCCATTTGAAAAAGATTAGAAAATTCGGTTCAAAAAGTTGTAAATTAAAAAAATTCTTTTTTGGCCACCCTGTATACTTTTGGGACCTGAAAATGGCTTAGTGTCATCACACAGATATACTGGTACTAACATATTGTTTCTTAAAATCGATACTTGTGACTGTAGTGATTTTTTTTATATATATACGTGTAAATGGCATAATTTCAACAAAAAAAATCATTACATCCAAGTGGTTGGGAAGGAGTCAATAATAACATAGGAGTGGAAGGAGGTCACAAAGAGGTTTTAAAAAAAGTTCTGATATACATGGCATTCCATTTAAAAAAATGTTAGTTGACCTTGAAGAATCGCCTTGGCTCACTCTGTATATTCGAAAACAATTTCCGGTTATAGACTTTTGTGTCTAGTTTACTTATGTTTTTAAATCAAGTTTCTAGCTATCATAGAACTCGAGATATCGAAGTCGGATGCACTATTTCCCCACCCTGTATATCAAATTTGCTTGTTCAAAGTAATATAATATGCAATATGGTTATCAAATTTTTCGATATTATGAAATTTATGCAAAATCAAAGATAATTATTTTCTTTTTTAATGATAATTAATTATTTAACATTATCAGCAATAATTTCTTTTGTCAAATCTACAAATGAAGGTCAAGCATTTTCCTTAGTAAGAATAAAGCCTTTGTGTAGAGAAACAATAACTGTTACGAAAATAATAAAAAATTATTGAGTTCAAAAAAAGGTTATTTTAATTTTGAGGAAGTAAGTTTCATTACTCAACTAAACACTTTGGTTTCTCTGAAATTCTGTCAAATAGATTCTTTAGGTATCAATTAAAATTGATCTGCTTAGTGGAGTAGTGGTGACACGTTAAGCTTGAGACCAAGGAGTCCCGGGTTCGATTCCTGGCTAGGGCATGGATGTATAATGACGTTATTAAATATTGGGACAATAGCACGGTTGGCTAGGGCGTTGTTGTGTGGTAGAACACAGCTAGCCAATGTCTATCTCTCTTAAGTTTGAGGCTCAGCTGCTTCATTTGGCAAATATCGCAGGGAATGATTGGTGTGTGTATGTCTGTACTGATTAAAATGTGCTAAACCAATATTTTAATATAAGTAAATCGTTAAAAAAATGCTTAATACGAAACAAATAAAATGTCAAATTTTTAAAAATGAGTTTTTTTAACATTTCCACTTCTTTACATATCATTTGAGAATAAACTATTTGCTCACTAAACTCCATAAGAAAACACCCATAAAACTCAAATCGGGTTATCTGGGAGGCAATTATAGTACCAGGTCTATTAATCCATTTTTCTTCAAATCTTTCATTAATGGTTGAAACGGAGTTAGCAACCGTAGTACCAAAATATATTCTACAGATAATTCATTTTAGAAATAATTTAAGACATTTGATTTAATTTTTCTGCGGCATACCATGCATTAATTCTGATAATAGAGTACCGCCTTCTTAACTGAATAATTTAGTCGGTATTTTCTTTACTACATTACCGGCAATTTTGTAAATAAGAACTACTAAATCCCTGAATTCATCTGAAGGGCCTACCCGTTTATGATTTCGATATTACATAATTTTTTTGTTTAAAGTTATACAAACTGTATACTATGCTGTTCCAAATTATAAACAAATTTCCACATATTTTTTTATAGAAGCATTTTGCTAATACCATGGCTCTGTTTTTGAATTAAACCTTAAATTCAATGACTACAAACTAAACAATTTAATTTTTAGCAGAAACAAGGAAAATAATATAAATATTTTCATAATTTATAAATACGTTTAACAATTCATCATCTCATGTTAACTTTAAACACATATTGATTAAAGCTTCTAGTAGGTATTAACGGCATTGTTCTGCCATAGTACGTCGGAAAACTAGGCCAAATTCCATTATAAGGGTAACGACTTATGAGGCTTTAAAACTGTCAACCGAACTTTCTCTCTTAAGATCTTATTTAGTTCCTTGGCTATGGCTTTCTTTTTACTAAATCACCAATAAGCTTACCCTTTTTTAGAAATTATGACTAGGCACTTTAAAAGACTGAGACAACCTGTATAGTAAGTGTAAATAATGAACCTACTTATGCCTTGCAGGAATTAATATAAATTTTGTAGCTTATATTTAAAGTGGAATTACTTTATACAAAGTAAAGGCGTAAAATTAATCAGACCAGTAGGTCGTATTCCTCCCAAGGTAACGATTCAGAGGACTGACAAAGGAGAAGCATTATATATACAAAAACAGGGACGGTTCACATAGTGTCATATAGTTTTTGTGACTAGTAAGAAAATCAAAGATGATTTATGATGACAGGGCTGTACCACCGCAAGCACTGGGGACGCCAATTATTAAAAAGTACATCATAAACACATACACTTTTTGTATGTATACACGTCAACCTACACAATTTTAACAGTTTGTATTAGATAAACATCTATCTATTTATTTCCTACATATATAACTATATCATGTAAGTGACTGAAAATTCAATACCTAGTAACCGGTAAAATATTTTAATGGTTTTCCCCAAACAATTGAGCATTTTTGTTTACAAATGTATAAAATTTAGAAAGTTAGGAAATGGTGTAAGAAAGTAATAATTCTTCGGCCCAACATGTACGAGGAGACGTTATATAGTTTATGTATATGTTAGAAACTATCCTTCATCTAAATATAACTATTTACATTCAATTCACTTTATTATTTCGCGATACTTTGATCTACATTTCTTCTTCAACATCTTAATACTGTTTTGTGTTTGACGTAAAAATTATTACCATCCACAGATCTGTAAAAATTCCCTGCAAAAGCCGGGCCTGTTTCAAAGACATTTCGCAGTCTCCAAAGCATATAATATATGTAAAAACTATGCCAAGTAGGAAGGAGAGGAGACGGATTATTGTGCTTGCTGAAAGAGTTCTAAACTCTAAAACTATACCTACTTAACATATTCTTGACTCCAGACTGCCTTATTTTCCTTCAGATTTGGAAAGTTTTTTCAGCGCCAGGTTTCTTTATGCAAATATTAAGATAGTTGACAAAAAATATATATTTATACATTTTTTATCCAGCTTTAAAATGTAGGTACATGAAATCTCGTTTTAAAACAAACAGATAACGTTGGAAAACATTAAATAGGGTGTCCGAAATAAACCGGAACTTCTCATGTTTTGCAAATTTTTTGTAAATTAACCGATGTGAGTACCTAAAAAATGATGTTATGTAAATCGGAAAAGTCATAATCTACAGTCAGTTTATTTTGTGCTGATCAATATAATTAGGTACCTCTATATTCTTCACTAAGTTTGAGTAGTAATAAAACCGTTATTATAGAAAGAAATCTCGACAATCCATCTCTTTCAGAATGCTATTTGATTAAATTTTTTCAACATTTAAATTTATATTTTTGTAAGATTAAAACAAAATTAAACCCATTAGATTGGTTCATAGCTGCCCATCCCTAATGCACATAAACAGATAAAACTGGTGCTCTTAGTAACAACTTTTAATACAAGGTAGTAATTTTTAACAACAGACTTACTCCCAACGTAAGAGTGTAAATCACTGAACTTGCTAGCATTATACTTTTCTTGTAGTTCATCAAACTGTTAATGGTCACATAATTTGCAACGTGCTATTAAGTAAACTGCGGAAAACTAAGTATCTTGGCGCTCAACGTGGGGCTCTAACCCCCCCACGTGAATGGTTGAATAATAAAAACGTATTTAAACTAATAGATGCAATTCCCTAATTAATTCCAAACATTGAAATATATTTATGAATAAGAACTAAAATCTTCGAAGAAGTATTAACGTTGGGAAATACTTTAAATTAAAATAATCGAAACTTAACAGTAAATACAGTTTTTTCAGCGCCAGGTTTCTTCATGCAAATACTAAGATAGTTGACAAAAAATTTATATTTATACATTTTTTGTCCAGCTTTAAAATGTAGGTACATGAAATCTCGTTTTAAAATAAACATATAACGTTGGAAAACATTAAATAGGGTGTCCGAAATAAACCGGAACTTCTCATGTTTTGCAAATTTTTGTAAATTAACCGATGTGAGTACCTAAAAAATGATGTTATGTAAATCGGAAAAGTCATAATCCACAGTTAGTTTATTTTGTGCTGATCAATATAATTAGGTAGCTCTATATTCTTTACTCAATTCGAGTAGTAATAAAACTGTTATTATAGAAAGAAATCTCGTCAATCTATCCCTTTCAGAATGCTATTTGATTAAATTTTCTCAACATATAAATTTATATTTTTGTAAGATTAAAACAAAATTAAACGCATTAGATTGGTCCATAGCTGCCCATCCCTAATACACATAAACAGATAAAACTGGTGCCTTTAGTAAAAACTTTAATGCAAGGTAGTAACTTTTAACAACAGACTTACTCCCAACGTAAGAGTTTAAGTCACTGAACTTGCTAGCATTATACTTTTTTTATAGTTCATCAAACTGTTAATGGTCACATAATTTGCAACATGCTATTAAGTAAACTGCGAAAAACTAAGTATCTTGGCGCTCAACGTGGGGCTCTAACCCCCCACGATGAGATTAAGAGTCCCTTGTCCCATTGACAGAAGTGAATTTTGCATTAATCCACCTTTACGAAATCTAGAGTTTCTCTAATATTTGTATAATATGGAATCAAATAAGAAATCACACCTAAACAGAAATCTAAATAGTGAAATTTTTATGATCTACCCTGTATAAAATAATAAACTTCCATAGATTATAAAAAATTCTATTCTAAAGTATCCGAAAAATATACATGACAGTTCATGCATGTATACCACTACATCCATTTTTCAAATTTGCTGAAATATGTCAATCCAAACGTTGCATTGTGAAGAAATATTAATATGCTTGTTGATTGCAGGTCCCTATGTCAATATTAGCTATCCATTATGATGTAAAAAATATGGTTACGGCTAGGGATTGAGCATTCACCAAAGAAATTCATGAAGTGTAGCATATTTATTGGCTATCGCATGGAAAAATCAAAGCAAAGATAAATGAAGCTTGACATTCTCTACTTTGCGATCAAACATTGGCAAAGTTGTTTCATATAGGATCAAAGTTCAAAGGACAAGGGTTTTACAAGTCACCTATCACTCTTGTAAAATACCCTTTTCCGCTTTCTTTAAAATTTCTCCACCCTATTTCACATTTTGGCATATATACAAAGAGACATTAGTCATGAAAAAAATATTCAAAGCAAAATATTTAACTAAGCGAAAATTCTTGTGGGAGCTGTAATATTTTAAAATGTTACATATTTCCCTTAAAATTTGGTTTATGCAGAGCCTAATGTAAAGAATGTTACAGATAATGTAATAATAATAATAATAAATTCATTTATTTATCTAAAGAAGATAGTAAATACAATTAATACACATAGTGACATAGTAGACGTATGGTTTCAACAAGACAGAATAATATAATAATACAAAAAAGATACAATAGTAAATAAAAATATCATTGAAAATAACTTAACTAAACAAAAATTGCATTGAGAACAACTTAACTACTCGTAGGTTACTAAGCAGTACTTTTCTTTAAGTATAAAAGTTGAGATTTAAATTGTTGAACAGTTTTACTGGCCTTAATTTCACGAGGAAGAAGATTGAACTGTACAATTCCCTTGTGGAACAAACTTTTCATTGTACTACTCTTAGTTGTTCTTTTTACATAAAAATTATTTGTAATTGCTGTACGAGTGTTACGTAGGTGTACCTCAGTAACAGGCAATAACTGTCGTACTAGATAGTCTGGGAAAATATTATTAATCATCTTAAAAATAAAAGTCATAGTTTGGAAGTAAAGAAATTGTTCAATGTTAAGCCAGTTCAATGTATCTAGCATCATTTGACTA